AAAAAAAAAAAAAAAAAAGAAACCCCCTCCTCTGCTTGAGGTAAACACCAGGGCCTGGCTCAAAGGCAGCAGCAGCTTCTCAGTACGGCCAGTTTGGAAACCACTGGCGAGCCCCACCATTGCAACAGGTCAGAGCACGAGGAGCGCAGCCTCTTTGCTGCTGTCCCTGGGGATGGAGACCCATCCCATCCCACAGGTTTACAACACTCGCCCTTGAGCCTTGGCCCCGCCGCAGCGCGGCGGCATTACACAACCCGCCGGGCCCCGCTGCCCTTTCTCGCCAGCCCTCTCCCCCTGGGGTGGGGTGGGGGGGAGCTGCCACACGCTTGTCGCGCAAAGCCCAAAAGGTTCCCCAGGGACCTACTTGAGCCCGCTGGGCTTCCCCGTAGCCAGTCCAGCTCTGCCCCATCCCTGACACAGCAGGAAGGGAGGAAAGGTGTGTGTGGAAGCCATTGAGCCCCCCCACGCGCAAGGGCCAAGCACAGAGCTAAATATAGCCCTTATCTCAGCTCCCGAAAGATAACAGCCTGTGTCCACAGCCCGCCACAACGCCCCGCACCGATTTCTACCTACCTTTGCTTTGGGGGCAAATACCAGGCAGCAGTTGTGAAACACCCTGTCCTGGCCACGGCAAACAGGGCCTTAATCAGAGAGCAGAAATAGACCCTAAGCCACCTTGCATGTATTAGCTTCTTAGTTCACACAGCCAGATTACCAAAATTTTCACAGCTCCAAGGCCAGCCAGTATCTCCCTCAGCATCTCTGTGGTCTCAGACAGCTGTCACGCGTGTCACACAAGAAACCTGTGATGGAGCAGAGCAACAGGCACAAGCTAGGCTGGGGCCTCCCTGTTTTTAGGGCCATCTCATTAAACTTACCACTTCCACTTGGCCCTGTCTGACAGGCCAAACCTGCAATGCCAAGCCCAGGTCGGGGCGACCCTGCCTAGAGGAGGCCAGGGAAGCAGTGGAGAGGGCCCATGAGCCTGACAGCCGTACATGGCTCTCTCTATAGCTCCTGGGGCGAATCCGACCACAGTTCCTCCTAGCCCTGCTGAAAACCTTTCGCTAAATAGCACATGCTGAAATACCACCCTATCGGGGCAGGCAAAACATTGCCGTAAGCCTGCAAGGCTGCTGTAGTGGATACATCTCTCAGCTCTCTCTCTCCCCAACTTCTCTAAATCTCCTTGCAATCTCCTTTGTCTAAGAATGGGAGCCTCTAAGGCTAAAACAATGCTCGTCTTCCCTCAGTGAAATCCTTCCGCCCCACAGAGTGATAAGCTTACGAAATTACAGCATACAGCAGGGAGTCTCCAGGTTTAACAACAGCTCTGTGTGTGCTCCCACAAGTTGCTTGCAAGCAAACATCAACGCTTCATCCCTGCTTTTATGCTCTGTAAGGGGAGGGGAGAGAGAGCATTGCTCACAGCTGCGCACTTAGAGGCCAGATGCAGCAAAAGAGAAGCAAACGCTATTATCCCCTGACGTTGCCACGGGAAGAAGGCACCGTCCCCACCTCCCGGCAGGTGTTACAGCCTCTGCTGCTTGCCCGCGGCGCCAGTTCTCGCTCCCAAAGCCACTTCCCTGCACGCACGTGGCAGGAGATCGCTGGAGATGTGGGACTCCGCGCTGGAGCGGACTCGGGAGCAGTCTCGGGGGGCAGAGAGGCTGACCCGTGGCAGGAGGGCAGCCACGGAGACTCCCTAACCTGGCTGGCCTCTTGCAATGCGAGCAGGGGTCCATGCCAGAGCAGCAGCTTGCCTAATGGACACCCCCGGAGTGTCAGAAACGCCTTCCCAGCCCCTCGCACAAGCCAGGACGGATACTCCCTTCGCCTTGGCCTCTGCGCCTGTCGGGTCCCGCAGGTGTTTTTTTTCCTAACGAAAGTCATTTCTGCGAGGAAGTCGTTTTTTTCCGTTTCACACCATAAACGGTGCCAGGA